GTCTCTTCTTGAAATAAAAGCAATAGTCACCATCATCTCTTTGATTTGAGCACAGTGCCACTCCTAAGCAGCAATGTAATTAAAGATGAGCGTATTCCGCTCTGAATTAGCCTTATCTGTGCGGAATCCTGAATGCACTGACAGCACTGCAACAATTATAAAATATAAACAGGCTCAAATCCTCATTAAATAGGAAACACATTTTCTCTAGCAGCCTAAGTAATATAGGGAGCAATATATGTAAAATTATCAGTCTGTTTTTGTAACATCTGTACTTTTTTGAATAAAAGAAAAAAATCAGGCTGAAAAGAGACAATTATTTTACTGTCTGTTTCTTAGATATCAGAAAGAGAATTTTGAAATTCATCAAAGCTAACCTTCTGTTATGTACAACAGGCTAAGCTGAAAAGAATGTTAACAAGTTCAATTTTCATTCAATCAGCACTACTGCTCTCTGAAATGTTTCATTGCAGGAAAGAAATAAAAATAATCTATATGGTAATTATGAGGATGAATCCCCCAGTAACTTTCAGCTACATGAAAGGTCAGTTCTATTCAAGATATTTTATCAGTCCCCTGCACATACTCCTGTCCTGTCATTTTAAATCTGAACAGCATTTTATTTTCCCATTTACAGCTACCTGCAGAATTAAGTACTTAAGCCAAATAAGAAAAAAAAAAAAAAAGAAATGTTGAATGCTGGCAAAGGCTATAATAGCATGGAGATAAATCGTTCAGCTGCTCTCTCTCAAGCCTCTGGGGCTGCAGATTTTTCTTCTCCTGGTGCACTGTGGGTATTCAAAACTTGTTCAACATGATTTCATTTCATTTCAGGCACTGCCTGAGAAAACTAAATTACAGAATCAATCATACAGAAGGTCAGAGTGAGACTTCATTACAAGTATTGCATGCTTGCATGAATATCTTTCATTTATGACTGACCCAATATGTCACAATAGCTGTCTAGTAAAAATAATCCACTTTCTGAAATTGATGTACTACTGATGTCAATGCTACTCAGCAGGCTGGGCAGATTATAGAGAGGTGTTAAAAAAAGGAACCCTGAGGAGCACAAGTTGTAGTTTTATACAATTGCCACAGTTTGCAGATTAAAATAATTTTTCTATGGGCAACTCAACAGAAAACAGCAGTAATATAAAATGTTGGGGGTTGATTTTTAATGAGGATATCGCTGTTGATTTCCACTTATTTACATTCGAGTATTTATAGGCATAATATTTGCATCATGTAAATCCATGTGTTCTTTGAAGTCAAATGTCCATCCACACTCCCTTTTTCAGTGACTCATTTTTGAGCATCAGGATTTTATTTGCATATTATTAAAATATTAAAAATAATCAAAGTGCCTCCATTTTATCTTCTCTTTTGTTGTCTGTTTTTAAATGTAGAAAAATGCTGTTAAGTAAGATAAATGTGTTGTGTTTGTTGCCAATAATAATGAAACTAATCAGCATTGTGACAAATAATCACGCTTTCCATAGTATGTGTATCTTAATACTATGAACAATGGTAACTCATCAAAGTGATCTTTTAATAATTGCTAGGTCACATTTATGGTGAGAATAAATATCTTTCTTGCACCGTGAATGTTTTTTTCCATATAATAACACATAAAGAATATGTTAAAAGGAGAATGATTTCTTTTTTTTTTTTTCTCCCCTGTCTTCCTGTGGGAAATACGTGAGATACTTGCCGAAGTATTACGAAGTAGCCAGCCAACTCCATACCCTAAGGGAGACATAGGAAAACCTTGACATAACCTATTTTTAACCATGCCTCTGGCGATTCTGCATTCAAGTTTATAGGTGAACATGTCAGGTAGTACATAGAAAAAAGCCAAAGACACACAGTATTAATCATAATTCTGTCCAAGCCCATTTTATTTTTTCAACATTTGTGATTTAAAATCTCGTGACATTTCTTCAAGGTGAAATTCTTCTACCGGACTTTTCAACAGGGTAGGGCTACATTTATCTAAATTAAATATTGCTTACTGTAAAGCTCTCTAATGCTTCACAAGATAACCGATAAACTCGATGCAGTTCATATTAAAATAATTTAAGTTTGTATTCAGCTAAAGCAGCTTTAGTGATTAGCAATGCACTATTAATACAGCCTTTAAATAAGAGTATCCTTGTATCGCCGGATAAGAACATTGTTCTGTAAGTGTATACGAACATCATAATTATTTTACAACCCCATCTTTAGTTCTTTCAGATATAGTAAATTCAATTGACCATGAAATGAAATTTCATAGTCAAAATGCCTCCTTTACATTTTTTTTATTGCTGCAATAAAGTTTTTATAGCTCCAAGGCAAGGTAATTCATGCAATGTCTAATTTAAAGATGAATTCTAATATTATTAATAAATATTTACCAGTTTAATAAAGTGCACATTTTTCACATAAAATATGATATAATGTTTTCATTTTCTATTTTTGAAGTACAGATTAACTGCTGGAAAATTTGAGCACTAGAGAGAGCCATGTGAGCTCAGGGAGAACCTATGCAAGGACCCTCTGTAAATGTTTTTAAACTTCCCGAAGCTACACAGCATTTATGAGCAGAAAAGAAAAAGACTCCTGACTAAAATACTATGGCAGGGGCCACTCCATCTCACGGTATGAAACAAATCAAGCAGTTGTGGGCAAGTGTCCGGCACACGAACCTCCCTATGTGGCTCCTCCATACCAAATCACACAATTCCTCATCAATTCTCTGCAGCAAAACTCCACACAAGTTCCCAACCCACAGCTTCGAACTGGCGATCACCCTAGAAGATACCACTGGACTACTGGGATAAGAAGACATGAGCTTCTCTTGATCTTCTCTTTGACCTATACAGAAACAAATTCTTACCATTGAAGTCAATGTAAACTATACCATTAGTTTCTACATTGCAGTCTAGAAAAAAAGGGAAAGATGTAAAGCCTCTCATCCAGAGGAAGAAGAGGTAAGAGAAGAGATATCTAACCAGAAGGCCTCTTCTGGTTGGAACTGTTACGGTGATGACATTTACTCATGAAAGAATCACATTCAATGAAAGGATGCAAAATTACAAGGCAAAACTGGGTCAGCTTAACAAACTACTTGAGAGCATTGAGGGGATGCTTATATGTGTACCACAACGCTGACCCAGCCCAGGATATTTATTACATATTTCTGAGCAAGTTTCATCATTTTCAATGTACACACAGACTCCATTACTTTAGTTTTCAGGCATAATGTTCTTGACCCAGGTTTTACTAATATGATCTTTCTTTAGTAGTCACCCAACATGCCAGCGCATACAAAATCCCATGCAGAATGGGATCTGAAAAGAAGTATCATATCTTTCAAGGCCTGTTTTAGACAGTCCCTGCTTTGTATCTATGAAATTACTGAATTCTGCACCTCCTAAAGAGCAAACAGTTTGTGCTTAATTCTGTATTAGCGCTAGCTACTCTTCACAACCTCCAAGGAAATATTAAAATTTGTAGCGAAGCCAGCAGCCTGCAGAATTCCAGAGAAATATTTGGTGCATGTTCCTTTGTAAATCTGTAATTAATTTTCACTTGCCAGAATAATAAAAAAGAAAAAAAGATTTACATGAAATCATAACAAGACAACACGATGACCTTTATTACAGTCCAGCAGTAAATCTGTGTTTTCACTACACCCAGTTTAGCAAAAGGTCCTATATAAAACAGCTAATCAGAAAAAATACAGTTGATGTAAAATATCTGTTCAAGCTAAACATTCACTCTGTCTTCAATATGCAATACAGAAACTAATTCTAATTGTGACCACCGAGTTTAAAATGCTAAGCATGATGAAGTGACTCACAGCTGCGTCTCATCACTGCGAGTGTGGCTGGTGCTGCACAAAGCCTAGAGAAAGCCAGGCAGAGAGATCCCCCAAAGCTGAAAGGGAAATACAACAGAAAGTGGGAACTGCCCCGAATACCCTCCCACGGAGATCACAGCCATACAGTGCGTACAGATTCTGGGGAACGCTCCAGACAGCCTTGGTTTTGATTGTTCTAATTAACAGGAATGATCACCGGAATTAGCCTAACAGTCCCCATCACACAGCCCTTCCCCACAGCCCGATCGTCCCTCCCCGTTCCGGAGGGCTCGGAAAGAGCCCGGGAACAGGAGAACAGGCCCAACCTGCCCCAGCCGCTATGGTCAACAAAAGCACTGGACAGAACAAAGTCTTTTTTTGGCCCTATATTTCTGAGCATGGTCAAGGTAATACATCCCTATCACTTCTATTATGAATTTAAAATTTTTAAAAAATCATTTTTTCATTTATAAAGATTTAGGCCACAGAACATACAGAATATAGGGAATTATATGGGTTTTTACTGCTGGCGTACTGGGCCTGGCTGCCTTTCCAAGCTACTCTCAATACTGCACTTTCAAAATATCCTGATTGCTGTCAGATGTGGGTCCTGTACTTGAAATACAGACAAGCAATTCCTTCTAAATGTCCTAGTTCACCCTGGCCAACACAATGGTCTCTCAACTCTCGATGCCGCTGTCAACTGTATAACACATTTTTGAACTTCAGCAGCACTTGGGATGCAGATGATGCCAATGGATACGGGCTTCCAAGCCCACTCCCAAAATTAAAATTCTGTGTTTATAAAACCTGACTGCTTCTTCACGAGAGATCTGCTCACACACAGAATAGCATTGCACTGCACATTAACAACCATGTTTATCTTCCTGAATCCACCAATATTAAACCCTTAACCATTTGCCAACTGCTTTAGGGAACTGAATAATAGCATATTATTGTTTGCTGTGTAACACTGACAACACGTGTCATCACTCGTACAGAATACGCCTGCACGTGATACAGAACATCGGCAAACGCTTCGTCAGGCTACAATACCAAGAAAACATACAGATCTTCTGAGAGATCAGTTAAAAAGGACAGATGACACCAATCCACATTACTGTGCTTTGACAGACAAGAGACCCGCACCTACCATGTGCAATCCGTTGCTGTGGATGACGCCGTCTTGCTCCACGAGATTTCGGGATATTGTAATAGAGGGAAGATCCAAGCTCTGGGGGGGAAACTGAGGTGTAAATTCATTTCCTTGTGCAGGCAGCTGGTCACCAAGGCCCTGAAAGGGCAGCAGGATATCCGCCATCCCCAGCGCGGGGTCTGACTCGGGCGGGGGGGTAATGGGAGGGATTTCGAACTCCTCGTCCCCAAGGCTCGGCGTATGGAACGTCTGCTGGAAAAGGACAGGACAAGGCAAGCCACGTTAGGGCGCACTGCTCTCAGCAACCACCTCCGGTCCAAATCTGGTTTAGTTCTCAAATGCCAACTCTATACGCAACACATTTTTTAAGTTTCATATACTGAAGGGGTTTGTGGATCATTCTGATTAAAGGTTTAAGTCTCATTATCATATGGCTTTAATGGAGTATCAGTATTAACAGTTTTTTAATGCGTACTTAATTAGCAACATCTGTCTTTGTTGTTAGTCTGCATATCAGCTACATTGGATTTGGCTGTATAACAAATTGCCACTTTATTGATATGTTAGTAAAATAGCACAAACAGCTTACATCATTCTCATGCTTCATAAAATACTGACAATTTTGTGGCACGCACACCCCATTAATTCACCACTGACCATTCCACATCTTTTCTTTCCTTTTTATCCACTAATAAACATGAACTATTATAATTTCGGTCTTCATTTCTTGTCTCTTCTTATGCACCCTTTGAAACAAGGGCTGTAATTTGGAGGAGGGACACGTAGAAAAGAGCGAGGGTGATCACAGCAGCTTCCAGGGTTTCTGAAGCAAGCCAGCTTTGTTTGAACAGCAGCTTTGCTACGAACTAAACACCTGTTAAGACGCCTTGAGCAAAACATTTACTGCTAGTTATCTTCAGGGCTTGTGCGTGTTTGTACTGGTGCATGTGTCTGTCAAAGATAATCTTTATTCAAGTAGAGTCTATATCTGGCTTCAACATTGCTGATTTTTATTTGGGAAACAAATGAGCTACGCTTATTCAAATTTCTCGCGAGTTAAATGAACTTTCATCTATTATTTCAGGTCCGCTGCTACTTAATAATAGAAATTCAGTGCTTGAAATTAGGCCATTTTAAACGTACCCAAATCAGGACTGTCTTGATCAAATCGGGCAGTTGGCAATCCTAAAATAGGCACTCTTGTCTTGTTCCGGACATGCAAGGCTGCTCTGGGATTTGTTTGTTTGCATTAGTTCAGGATTCGAGTTGGGGGGTGGGGGTAGGAATTGTTTTATGTATTATTTACAGTGTTTGAAAGAGTGACTTAATGCCAGTTAATTTTAAAATGATATGTTCAGTGAAAGATCTCATTAACTGCTGCAAATTGTCATCCTTCAAACTGTTAATGATGATATAAATTAATAACCGCTTGAGAGAAGATGGAAACTGAAACACAAGAAAAGCCTTCGCTTGCATATAGAACCTGTCAGCTGTCATTATTGGTCTCACACCAGAAATGATGAGGTCCCAGACTGCTGCAGTCTGCAGTACCGTCAGGGTCTGCTGAGACTCTGCCCATCTCGCTCGATCCGCAAGGCTGTAACTTAATTCGGGATGCGAAAGCCGGGCCTGGATTAGGGAGACGTTTGACTTCCCCGCTGCTATATTACAAAAGGTGTGAATTTTTCTTCCTGCGGACCCCTTAGTTCACAAACACAAAGGATGGATTGGCCAGGAGAAGTGGTTGGCTAATGAACATAACCCTGTGGCTGCATTTGCAGTTATTTTGGCACTAATGTGGTCGAGTAACAGATGCAACTGTAATTTGTGACTCATTTGCTACCCCATTACTGCTTAATGAAATCTAACATATCACATTAACAATACGAATAAACACTCATTCTTGATATGTGGCATTTGGCTGTTTTCATTACCACTGTAATTAACACTTGAAATATTATTTCAATAAATATTTAAGGTGCTTTAAAATGGGTCGTAGTAATCATGACATAGAGACAGAAAACATAAAGCAACTGTGTGGTTTCTAAGCCTGAATGTGCTCTAGGATTACACTCTTAAGGCATTATTTACAGGAATAAAATGGGCTTCGAGCTCAGCAGCGCTCGGGCCCACAATCATAGCGAGAAAGCTACAGTCACGTTAATGTAAAAACACTATAATTAAATACATTGTTACGCAGTAATTGCCAAGTTAGGTTCACGCTTTAATGCAAACACTAGCACTTAATCGTATTTTTTATTCCTTGTTCAAGCAAAAAGGTTCAGTGAAATCAGTATTATTACAGTACATTTGAACCTCTCTTTACTTGACATATTTGTGAGATAGTGGTAATTATAAGAACTGAATCTTTTTTCCCCATCTAACAGAATAACTCTCGGACAGCTGTATAAATATATAACACAGCTAGATAATAATACAGAATTTTACTTAGAACAGTAGCATTCCTCTTAATACTTATAGCTAACTACAAATGAAAGAGTAAATTGATGAATACCTTAACAGTTTTTATATGTGATTTTAATTCTCACAATATAACTTGTCCAAATATGTAGAAATCTTTTTTAAAAAACATATAATGGACCTAAGATTGAGGATAAAATAGATGTAATCTAAGAAGAAAGCAAGCCCCTTAGTGAAGTAGTCTAAAATCCAAATCACTGGCCCATTCAGCCTGTAAAAAGAGCCTGAATAGTATGCAATTTGGGATTGCAGAAAGGTGCTGTTATGACCAAAAGATGGGATAACATTTGTGGGATTTATCTTACCAATCACATTTTTTCAAGTTATTAACTTTTCAAATATTTATATCTTACACATTTTTAAAAAAAAATGTGTGCATGGTTAAATGCCATCTGTACTGAAATGTTCAAAACATTTGTTCCTTTTGATAAAAATGCAAATCTGGAGAACTGTTGTATCAACATATAACAGCCAATGTCTGACACGGTGAATTATCACAGCTGGAATTAAATTGTCTCTGAACAGCTGCTGGCAGCAGAGCTTTCATCAATGTTTGATTCAAATGTAGGAAAGAAATTCTACAGAAAGAAACATCATGTTGTCATTACAGATGGGGTTTGTGTTCATTATCACAAATAACACTGGAGCTAGTGCCAAACAATATTCCCTTATCTAAGCAGTCTTGCTGGGTAAAAAGAGATGGTGACCATTGTACAAATGATCATAAAATACGACTCGTAATTCTAACCTTCACATTTATTGTTACACCTTTCTGCTTATTTTCTCCAAGATCACTTTTTTAAAAGCGCACAAAAATATCTGCCACTGAATCACCGCTTTACAACGTGTAAAATCAAGGCTGCCCAGTTTTCTAACCTGTCCTCACAAGGAAAAGATAATTTATGGCACGCACCCTACATAAATACTTAGTTCTTCGTCTCCATATTGCTATGCACGTTACCAGACGGTGCATCTTGCACTTTCCATCCGTCCCTTTGGAATAAGAGCCGTTGGGTTTTAGTGATGAGCAAAAGGTGTTTCTGCCTGGAGCTGGGGTCTGCATTAGCATGTTGATAGTCTATTAACTGCTGTAAGGCGGCACCACTGTACGAAATACACGGCGCCTGCCATTGCCATACCTTTCTCCTGTTTCCATTCTCAAAGGCGGTGACCAAATTCATCACCTCCACAACCCAGCCAGCCCCCATCACCCCGGCCCCGGGTTGCCAGTCCAGGCAACAAAGTCGATTTTGGTTTTCTAACTTATATGAGTATTAAGAACCCAAATTAAAATGTTTGTATCTATAACAGAAATTAGCACATTAGCTAGTAATGACTATTACTAAGCTTGCTTTCCAAGCATACACCTACTGTGCTTTTTATTTGTTTCCTTCTGTTTATAATTTTTTTCATACATAAAGCAGATTTATTTCTATTGACATGCTATGTAAGTAACAGCCTTATGGACAGTTAAATTGACTAGTAATGGAGAGCTGTCAGGTTATTTTCTTTCTCATTAAAGTCTTTATTTTGTGCTCCATAAAACACACAGAAATTCAGCACTTCACTCTTCATCCATTCAAACTCTGTTAAATTATCAAAGCAAACAGCGGAATAGGAGCATAGATAAAAAAGAAAAAACATCTACCTCATTTGCAGCAAGAAATGCATTGTTTGCCTCTGCCATGTTCATGTAGTTGTTATTGTTTCCAAACTGAAAGAAAAATAAATATTTGGATTTTAATGCATGCCACGATAAACTCTTCTTCAGCCCATCACTGGCATAGAAAAAGTTGGAAAAAAACCCAACAAAACCAAAACAACAAACAGATAAGATGTAATTTTGCAGATGTTCTTTGAAGTCAGAACTAGATTGGATTCAACATTGTTATCATTACATACTCTGCATCCCCAGATGGATGGAACACATCCTGTACATGGAACGCATTCTGTACATGGAACACATCCAAGCGTAGCCCTTCAACTTTCTTTGTCCACACAGCAAAGCCACCCCACAGACCTAGAGGTGACTTTGGAAATTAAGTGTCCATTAGAAAGAGACTATTCCCCAGAAAGGACATTTAGACTACGCTACATCTTTCCTGACACGCGTTATAATATTTCTGCAGATGATCCTGAACCGGAGGATTGCTGCAGCTGGAAGTAGCTGGGATATTACTATTCCAAGTAGACCTCGTTTTAAAGAGATGAAGGTCAATAAGGGGAAGAATGAGAATCTGCAGTGGTGTTCTTAAAATCCCCTTCTTTCCACCAAACCAAAAAGCCAAACAATCTCCCCCTTTGTCTATCCTACATTCCAGTTGAGCTCCCACACCCCCAGTAAATGTTAACACCAGAAGATTTTGCAAATCAGAGAAACTGTATCACTCTGAGACCTTGAGATCTCCCCGGGGTGGAGTGGGCCGCGTGCCCACTTGCTCCCACCGAGGTGCAACTCCTCTCACACACGAGTGATCTGAAAGGATCCCCTCGGATGCCACAGAGTTGTTTCCTCCAAATTCTCACGTATGAACATTTGTTGAAGAAGGTAAGTACTTTTTGTTTTACAGACTGAGCACAGAAAAGCAAGAGATTATCAGCATTTGGTTAACCAGCACTTAGTGTGCCTCATGCCCTTAAACGGCACTTCCAAACAGCAGGTAGTCTGGGAACTGTTTCTGCATGCGTTCCTGGAGCAGGCAGGTGCCTAGAGTCTTTGCTTCAAGGAACAGATACCACGCATGTCACGCAGCTACCACTAAAACACTAAACCACAGGCTTTCACGTTTCTATTATCAGGCACAGCTCACACTGCAAAGAGTATGAAACGCGAGAAGAGTCCCGGTGCTGTCCCTACAATGCCCTGCCACGTCACTGCTGCTGAAGCCACACTAACCATTCTTCCCTTAACTCCATTTAAGAGTTCTGTAAAGCAAATGTCTTCAGGAAGGCTTTGTTTTATCTTGCCAGATCTTGGTGGACCTGCCCTCCCTCCCCCCAACCCACAACAGCAACTGCCACCAGCAGCACCATAAGCTCTGCAACAAGCGCGTGAGGATGGGCGACCATACGCTTGCACAGATTGTTCTTTCCAAGAAACTGTTGTGCTTTCAGAGGAGCTGAACCTGTCCCGAAAGGAAACGCACTTTGCTCCAGCTCAGTCTTGGTGCCTGACTGTTTTTAGCAGGGAAGCGTTTCAGACCCTGACTCTCTCCAGTTCCTCCCGCGTCCTAGAGCAGCAGAGGAGCCAGAGTGATCCTTTCAAGAAAGGCTCTTCCCCTGCAAACTCCAAAATCCATTTCTGAAAATAAGACCAAAAGTTTAAAGGAGGGAAGAAAAAAAAAGAAAAAAAAAAAAAAAAAGGAGGCGGCAACTATAGTGATAGAGGATGAAAAAAGGAAGACGGACACAAAGAACTGGAGTCTCATGTACCTGATGAATTGTTTGATTGACAAAACAGGACACAACAAAATTGGAAGACAGTCATGGGGAGGAAGGACTATGAGATGAGATTCCTCATTCTGAAGTATGAAATTCCATTTGCGTATTTAACATGCTGAATCTTTCAACCTATAACACATGTTTAGCAACAGAGGCCTTAACACAATATGTAGGCTGCCTCATAGCTATTAAAACTCTGTTATCCCCAGCTATGCAGATACTCAAGTAATGTCATCCATTTTTTAAAAGCCCAGATGTCACCCATGTTTGGAGATTTAAAAATTCAAATAAAATTGCACATTCAAATTACTGTTTTGGCACATAAGGATATGTGTGTGTGGATTTGTTGTACAAAGACACAGTACTTGAGCTCAACAGTGAGATCAACAGGATAGATTTTTTTCATGTCAGTTAGTGGCAAACTAAGAAGGATTTACATCAAGAACTCAAATAGCTCCAATAGAGCTGTTCTGTCTACAGTAACAAAAAACACGAAATCAGGTTTTCAAATTATACCTAAGCGCAAAGGTACAATAGGCAAGTAGAGCTCTAACGTTGGATAAATAAGCGGGAACAAACCCCATCCTATTTTAATGAGCTTAGCATCCTAGGGGCTCCAGTGCCTCCAAATGGGAATGCAGCTGATTTTTACCTTGAAGAGTAAAATTCTACATTATTTGATCTACATGTATTCTTCACACCACAGCTACTGCTGTTCTGATTGTCAAGTGGTTTTCTTCCTTTTTGTTTTATTAAAGTAAAACAAAGGGGAAAGTGACAACATAATTTTCCATTTTATTAAGGCTGTGGAAGCAAATGACGTAATGAGGACTGTCAAAGCTAAAAGTTACAAGTACATATCCTTAGATTCATTCTGTTCTTGAGCCACAATATTTAAGGGCCTATTTTGTATGACTCAGGCACTGATGTCAGAACCTGGCACATTTAGGCTTTTGTTAGTATGGATCATAACGAATAATATTTAAATTTATTTTTTGTCTCTGAATTAGAAATCCATTGAAGGCACACAACAATTATCAGTGAGTATTTCTAAGATTAAACTTCCTTATTATCTAATGGCACCTATAACAACAAAAGAAAATAAAATGGTTATTATCTTAAGGACCTAAACAATTCAAAAAACAAATTAAGCTTAGAGTGAAATAAGAACTGGGTTAGAAATCCTCTTCTGAACAGTTAGTCTGCGAATGTAATTACTGAAGAAACTACAGCTAATCAGCTGTGAATTGTATCCATTAATTAGTATTTGCCCTGGAGAAATGAGAAAAATCAGTAACAATGTTAACACTGCAATGCACTGATGAGTACTGAAACACAGGGCCCTCAGCATTTAGTCAAGCAGGTGGCTCCAATGGTCCAAGTAATTTAAAAAGCTCTCACCTGAAGTGCAGAGCTGGAATTACAACGCACTTCTTGCATATCTTTGTATCTATATAAGGCTATAATTAATGGCTTTTAATTTAGAAACACTTTGTGATCAGCTGGGAACAGTTATAAATCATCCTAAATAGAACAAGGGGTTCTTGTCTATTTTAGTAAAATAATTTGGGAAAGATGTTTTTTGTGAAACGACTCTTGTTGCAGTCAACGTTTTTCTCCATTTATTTTCTAAAGGATCCCTTGCTCAGAGGCCTTAAACATCTCGGAGCATTCCTATAGCTGACAGCAGGCGTTCCAGTTCAAGGCGAGATCCAGCGATTGGCTCTGCCCGGGGACACTCCTGTGGGGTCCCACCTCTTAGATTTCCCCGGGACAGAGAGAGAGTAAGATGCAGCACCTACTCCAGCTATCTTCTTGCTTCGTGCTGGAGTTGGCACCCTGCGCACAAATGACTTAGCCAAAGCACTTAGCAGGTTTTGCATAAACTTTTGTGTCTAAAGATCTCGGAGCACCCTCGCTCTGTGACTACGAAAGAATAAAGTATTTCAGCTTCCTTTGGCAACACATACCATTGCATTACAAACTACTATTTGCCTCCTTTGACTTCATGAATTCAACAAACTCCATCCTAACTTCTGATAAATATATTAAGCACGAGTACCACAACTTACTGCCACAGCAAACCAATGGAAACCACACGCGTATGCTGATTTCACAAAATGGATTGCAAACAAACAAAACCTCTTCTGAATTGGTTGTGACTCATGGCTTTCATTCTTCATGCAAATCGTCGCATTAAAACCATGACAGCTCAGTCCTCTACTCTTTTATGTTGCAAGCGCACTTGAATCTTGGCCCTACTGACACCCGTAAGAACCCACGTGAAGACTGTAATGAGAGCGCCTGGATGTTTGCTACTAACACCTTGTGTAAAGAATGCCAACAAAATTGATTATTTTGTTGAAGAGCTTGTTGCAACTCTGCTCTTAGCTTTGACTACCAAACCCAAAGCCCAACATCGCGCCTTACTCATCCTTTCTAGGAAGGGTGTATATTTACAGTGCGAGGGGAAAATTCATGCCCTCTATTCCTTCCCCAGCACATGCCCTAATGAAGACAAATCAACTCCTGCCCAGGATTGGGGATGTAAAAACTGTATCACTGCCCCACTTGTACAAACTGCGCATTTTCATAGACCAAACTCCTGGGCCAGGCGTTATGATACCTGTTTGCAGATGAAGGGATTAGCCCCTCTGAACCAGCGCAGCGCTGCGTGGGGTTTCAGGCTGCCCTTTGCACGTATCAGAGCTTAAAAGTTGGTTGGTTATGAAAGCTGAGACTAATGAACAGTTGTTTTAAGTAAGAAGTCTGATACGATGAACGTCACAGAAAACCTTGGCAGTTCAGGATAAAGATCAGTGATTAAGCATCCAGAGTCTGAATTCCTACTGAAAACAATCTTCAGAAAATCTCAAAAGGTTAAATAGTGGCGACTGTCTGGGCTCTTCTTTTGCAACTGTGATGAGTCAAAAGCCACAGCAAGAAATAAAACAAGCAAAAGAGAAGTTTACACCACAAAACCTAAATATTTTAAAAAGCATACAAAGTAAACCCAATAACTAATTTTGAAGGTGTTATGAACACACATAATAACATTTTGAACCTCTTTAAGTTAATGGGAATTTTGCTACTGATTTTAATGTAAAAATTATTTTACTTAAAACATTCAGTCGTTAGTATTTATTACAACTTTGTACGTTTCTGTCTTTAAATCAACTTAATTATGGCGCAACTCTTATCTGAAAAACATTAGAAATCATACCCACTATTCATTTTCTAAAAAGCACAAATGCAGTAATACGTAAGTATCTTAAAACCAGACATAGAGGAGCCCAGATATTTATCTGAGCATCTCAATAGAACAAAAATGAATTTTTAAAATACTAGTACTTTAATGCTCAACGGTAACATTAGATTCATCAAGCAAATACATTAGATTTTTATAATATTGCTGCTTAACTGAATAGTGCAACCACAAGGAAGAAGAAACCATCGCAAGAGTTATTGTTCCAGCACCGAATGCCATCAAAACCAAAGAATGTGAATAAACGTCCCAAATGAAAAATTCAAACCAATATATATCCAGAACAGGAATTAAACTCATTTTGTCATCTTCAGAGACTTACATTTTGCTTAAAAGGAATGATTGCAATTCTGTACTCAAAGACTACATATCATATTTCTGAGAATAAATAAAAAAAATAATAGAGTTGTTACAGAATCCCCTCCCCTCTCCCCTTTTTTTTTTATTAAAGACAGACCTATCCCAACCCTTACTGCAAAACAAAATTCAGACTTAGTTATGATGGCACCAACAATCCTTTCATAATTAGTTAATGTTTAGTCAAAACACACATTCAAAGTTTGTGAGGAGAGTACCTCCAGACAAAATCCTCACTGGCTGGATGCTGAGCTCCTGCCCGCAGAACTAGCTCGCACCTTGCTCTCTCACAGCACTACGTATCCACTTGTAATATGTATTTTAGATAGTTACACATCCAAATTCTATCAGTTCTGATGCCAATTTATTGCTTATGGAAAATAGCAGCCTCAACTGATCACGCTTCCAGTATTTCTGCAATAAAATTAGCAGCCATATTTTTAAAAATATGGCCATTAATAAAATAATTTTTTACGGTGCGAGCATGTTCATATTTTTTATATAGAATAATATCTACTTGCACAGACATATATTATGGCAAGGATCTCAGTTCTATCTTCATATTTGGTAAATTAATTCCTCTGAGGTTACACTATCCTTATGAGTAAAAAGAAAGATAACGATCCCAAAAGATGTAATTACAGACCAAAACTAAATTACTTTGCAGGTCTAAGTACTGTATCTTAATAATTTCACCAGAGAACATCTTCACTGCATTTGGGCAGATTTGATTTTGCTGCCTGACCAATAATTACAGCTCTGGCAAATACAATGTCTGATAAGGCCATCAATTAAGAATGAGCATTGTGTTATTTAAAAAAAAAAAAAAAAATTCA